CAGGTGCCACCCACCTGGCCAGACAGGGGAAGCTTGCACCAGGCAGCTGCCACCGCTCCATGTTCAGCCATGCACCTCCCCCCCACCCATCTCCCCACCCCCCTGCACCCAGCCACTGGAGGTACACCGATCCAAAAAATGTTGAAAACCCTTGTAGCAATACATGTAACAGCACATCAGTGCTGTGCATAAGGTACCTCATTAAAAATAATGTACAGGTTTTGTCAACAGCAATAGTCTGTTAACAGAAGCATACAAAACTTCTTAAAAAACAAAAAAGGATTCAATTCCAACAACTGGATTAAAGGTTTGGATTAAATCCGCAACATGAAAAGCAAAGAAATCTATACCTTCACTTATTTAAACAGATTAAGGGAAATGAGGCTGTTTTCAATTTCATTTGCAAGTGAGAAAACAAATAGATATGGCATGAGAAAATGCAGAATTTACAACACAGACTTAATTTAAAATGAAAATCAAATTTTTTGCATATAGTTAAACATTCAGAGTCCGTAAAGTCTGTCTTCAGGAGAACCTGTAAATGTTGCTAGGGACAAGTTATTTTGCATGAAACCAAGAAAATCATAAAAAGGGAAATATTCTTTAGATGAAATACACTGAAGATCAGGCCCGATAAGTACACAACAGTATTCCAGAACTCTGAAGATGCTGTGACAAATACTCAAATTAGGATGTTTAATTACTTCCATACATTCAGAACATTTTCTGTCAGACCATCTGCAACACAACATTAAGCTCAAATAATTCATACATCTGTTACATTGATAGTTTTGTGATCTTACCAGATTCTGAAATAAATGTTTTCTACCATACAAGAAGAAAATTAAGGGATCTCTCAGTGTAAAGGTCATGGACTAACGATACAACTCTCATAGCTACTCTGTTGTGTAGTAAGAAAGGGGGCACACACCTCTTCATATGCTTTTTGTTTGTAAAATGGTCAAGAATGTTGTAAAACAATAATAAAAACCCTTCAGAGACTCAGATCATTTAGAAACCAAATGTATATACTGTATATGGAAAGCCATACAGTTGCTTCTGTTTCCCTCTAAAAATACTGGTTTGTTTTCCTGCCTATTTTTTGTCTGCAGTAATGCTAGGCACTTGGTAACCACAGAGAAAAGTGATCTTTGTGAAAGTACTCAAGCAAGCAAATAATAATGGCAACATCTCCAAGAGATTCAGGTCTAAATGAATGTATGGTAACTAAGTGTGCATTCATTTTTACAAAAAGCTGATGGAGCTAAGAGGAGAACGTTTTCAGGTTCATTATACACCTTACCAACACTAAATAACCAGTCTGATTAACGAAAACAATAAATTACACGTGCTATCTAATCATAGTTAATAAACATCATGCTCAGGACCCTTATACACTTAATTTATCATATGCAATATAATACTAGTCTCACCCAATATACAATGAGGTCTGAGATCCCAAGATCTTTTGCATTTAAACCATTGGAATATAATCAATACTGTTAAACTAATTTACAAGATGACCACATACTGACAATCCTGGCCTTTATCTAAAGAACAGATGTGGAATTATTAAATATTTTAAATTATGCCTAGGAAATTTCAGTGATGAATGAGAAATCTCACTCCTTATGGATGTTTATGGATTAGGAAAAAGCAGATCTAAATGAAATTCTGCCAGTTGAGTTTTGTTCAAAATTTAGAGTTAAGAAAAATAACCTGCCAAAATAAAACTGATGCAGCCAGACTTTTTGATTTTGTGAACAGTTCTGATGTTTGTTGCTGCAATATTCCAAGCATCAGTAGAGAAACAGAGACAACTCTGGTCAGCACTATTTTCTATTTTTCAGAGACCTGTGTGCTGTAATAAGCCTGAGAAGTGGCATGTCATCTGCTGATGTTTGGAAAAGTTATGAAAAATAGTAGAGACATTTCACAGCTGTACAGGTCACCCTTCAACTTTTACCATTTTATTTACCTGCTACTAATCATTATTTCTTACATACATTATGGGGAAACTGAAGAAGAGGTAGCCAGAGAACCCCACCTTGCCTATACCTTGTAGTTATCTCAAAGCATTTGAAGCTCTTGCTATAAAAGAAGGAAAGAAAATTACTTTCCCAATACCATAGGATTGGCTGGGGAGCTTCATTTTCAGAAGCTACTTTTGAGGTTAACAAGGCAGATAGAAGCTGTTAAAAGGTTTAATCATAAATGCTCTGGTAGGAATTTCACAATGCTGTAACTTTGCTTGCGTTTTCTTGTTGGGGTGAGGGGGAGTGGGGGGCAGGAGAGGGAAAACGGTAGCAGAGGTAGAAAAGTGGGAGGCCTAGCATTTCAACAAGAGTCTTGCTACTTGGTTTCATCAAATCTTTTTCAATCACCCTTTATATAATCATTTTAGACTCTAATCAGCCCTCTTTGTACAGACTAAGAACACAATTTTCTGCAAGTGTTGCTATGCTAATTCTACATTTTTTTTTATTAATAGAAAAGCAGCATTATGCTATACTCCCAGACCTTGCAATCGTCTGTACTGCATTTTAGTAGCTACACCTGCAGTTTGTCTTCATTCCTAACCATCTTCCAAATCAAATTAGAAAATTTCCCAAATAACTCCTTGAAATGGAACTATTTGTCAATCTGAGCAATTAAATCACCACCAATGTTTTCATCAGTGCCCAAAGCAACAAAATGCAGCTTTCTTCTTTTCCACAGTTCATGGAGAGTCTGCCCAGTAGGCTATAATTCATCCCAGTATTTTTTCTTTCATGGCATGCAGATTCTAGGTGATAAGCAGGTCTATTCTAAGGAAGGGGACAGTATAAATGATTGCAACAACTTTTTTTTATTGCTCTGAGAGTATTCCTCAAACCTATAATTGAAAAGCCACTTCAAAGCATGAAACGGCATACTTGTATTTTATGTGCATTCAACCCATCAGGTTACTAGAACTGTCAAAGCAGCAAAGCAGTTATCAACCCTGGTTTCTATATTGCAGACACTTGTCTTTTGAGAACGGGACCAACAAAACTGTCAGAAGTAATGGAAGAGTTTATTTTTGAAAACGGCTCTAACAAACATTTGAAGCAGTCTATTTACTAAAGATTAATTAGTACAGTTTTAAGTACAAAACCCAAACCCATTTGCTTTTTCTAAAATATATCAATAAATCCCATGATCCTTGTATGAGATCAAAGTCTCATTAACCAAAAAATTTAGAGAAGTGCCTTAATTCAACAGTCAGCCCAATCCCCATTTCCTTCCAGGATACTGTCATGCAGGTGCATAATAATATGCATACTAATATTTTTATTAATTTTAAGTGTATAAGAGTTTTAAACCAATTTCCAAAATAGAACCTCTTTTCAAAACTGAAATATAAATATTTATCCCTGCTATTTACTGCTCAGAATATAGGAATCTACCTGCAAAATAACTGCTGCAATAATTTTCTGTTACCATTAACATCACTGATGTCATAAGCTCAGTTCTAAGAATAAAGTTTTATCATGCTCCTTTTCACTGGCTGCCTGAAAAGGCTTAGCAGCAACTGTAAGGTCATGTTTAGCAGTGTTGGGTTTTTTTTTAATCACCGATGTTGCAGTTAGATTCTGGTATTACTCAGAATTTGGAAGTCTCTTCTTTTTGGTCTTAATGTAGGTCATTTTGCCTGACCTACTTGACATTTAAAACAAAAGCTGCTTTAACAATGCCCTGAATGCTCAAAATGACTTATTTCTTATGGGCAATCTTGGATATTTATTTTTTCACAAAGAAAATAGACATAAATCAAACCTGCTGAAATTAAAGAATCTGCTCACTTAACACTGACATTGTAAAGTCATATTCTGTTGCAAATGTGATTTATTTGCTGGAGAACCATTTTCCTAAATTCAGGCTTTCAATGCCTAACAAAGTAGTAGAGATGCTGTACTTTTTTTTTGGAACTGAGAATACATAAATGTTCAAGAAAAAGAAACGTTAACTGCTCAGTGGAAGACAGATGGGACTGCTCTCGTCTGTTACCACTAACCAAAGCTGTCTTGGTGTTCTTGATGTTCTAATATTTTTCTGAAAAATAGTTTTGTGGAAAGAAAATTCTGAGGGGTGTGTGTATACACACATATACATATATACATTCACATATATGCCATTACGTGTGTGTGCATTACACACACACACACAAAAAATGATGTGGTGGAGAAATCTCTCTCTCTCTCTAGATATAGATATATAGATATTTCTCCACCACATCATTGTGAAGCACTATGTCCCCACAGTTACAGCTGGGAAAGCTGAGACAGAGGAGATAAAAGTTGATTCATCTAAGAACAAATCAGTGAAACAAGACTGGCAACATAATTGAAGATTAACACTTGCAGCCCCGTGTTTTAACTATAAAACTAGTCTTTATAAGGAGAGAGAGAAGTAGGAGACAGCCCAAAATTTCACATGCAGTCCGTTATCGACCAATTCTCTTACACACTGCACTACAACTTCTAGCACTGATAGTAACGAAGTTTTAACCTTTGCCATGTCAGCTGTCCTCATAGCCTCTTCAAGGATGGTGACCATTCCCCTTGAAATTGTTACATCTCTATATACCTTTCATTTGGTCAGTTGTTGTAGGTTTTACAATTGTCCACAGCTACCTGCTTGGTTATCTGCCCACTCAAATGCACATTTGCTCATTTGCACTTCCTCAGAGTTAAAGATGTCAGATACCACAAACAATTAAAGAATGTGAAAGTAATAAGTTTCAAGACATCTGACAAAAATTACAGCTTTAGTGATAATTCATTTCAAACACCTCAGCTTCCAAATTAAGCATATAAAGAGTCAAATGCCCTGAGATAGCATATGCTTTATTTCTTGCCTTTAAATTGAATATTAATCACAAACTTTCTCTATAATAATAGGATTCTTTTCAGCATCTTCCAATATAACACAATAAAATTCTAATAATAAATAATTAGTGTTGGAGTGAAAAGACTTACTCTGCCCACCGGGCTCATTGGATGCACAGCATAATCTGTAGTCACATTATAGTTAGTTGCTTCACTTATTGTGCTCACTGGTCGGTCCTTCTTCTCCTCAGATGTCATAGATGCAGCAGTTCTGAAAATAGAATATGCAATAACACTGTAACCTGCTGTGTGTGCAGGCCACTATTAAAAAACATCCCTAGATGTTCTCTAATAATGCCTGTGTCCTACTTTCTAGTTTTCAAGCAAGCTAGCAGTTCACATTTCTTGACAAAAAGTTACCTATGCCAAATGTTTAAAAGCCAATTAAACTGTACAGCAAGCAAAATTTACTAGTAAATCTATTATTGGAAACACTTAAAATGTTGTTTGAAGCTACAGAAATTCACGATTCATACAACAACAGCAAGAGAATGCCACCCACAAATCTTATTTTCATAAAAATGAGACTACTTATAACTACTAGTGTGGTTCAGTCTCAGAATTAGCCTACTTGTCCTGCACAATTTAGGCTGCACAATACTCGGGCACTTGATAGTCTAAGATAAGAGATTAATGTTGCATATAAATTCTTGGTTTCCTTAAGCCTTCAGGAAAGATTAAGAAAATGTCATTCCTTACTTACATTTCAGGAACAGTCAATTAGCAGTGAACAAACCCATTATCCTGCTCAGAAAGCTCTTGAACAGGGCAACAAAGGAACTACCATTAAATGGCAAAGGAGTACTGGTTGCTATACGAGCTATGGAATAACAACTTTACAGAATGACTTAGTTGGATCATTGAAAACATACCTTCTGGTATTCTCTTGGACTACTCCACTAAAAACCTGGTAACTTTTCCTCCATTAAACTAAGGTAGCGTAATAGGTGAAAAATGGCACCCCAAAACTGACAAAAACAGTCCATTAAACACAGGAAGCCAGTCTGGACCTTTATAAGTCTTCAATGTGCTACTCTGGTCAGAGACTTGTGATGTGCAGAAAAACTCAAATATGAAAAAAATATTTCAATTTTCTTATTAGGCAGAAGGCAGGGCCAGGTGGCTCCTTAGAAACTGAATTATAACCTTTCTTAGGCAGCAACCTGATTTTGTCAGTTGCTAGGAGCCTAGCATACGACAAAATAGGTTGTTACCTATGAAAGCTCATGTGTCTCTGAATTAGTTGCCACCCTATCTTACCTTCTAACTGACTTCAGACTAACATAGCTATGTCCATATTAAAAGTCAGTGATTAGCATGAAATAAGCAGATTAAAAATGTGTACAATTTATATTTTAAGTGTATTTCACTTACTGTTCGTTGACGACAAAAATACAGTTGTCCTGTGATGGCTGTCCTGTTACTGGATGTTTACATGTCACTTTTCGTTCATTATGGCTGTGGAGGAAAGAGAAAGGATTTATAAAACTATGTATTTAGTACCTTAGCAATTCTTTTAAGAATAACACAAAGGCCCACGGACAGATAAGGTAATAGGAAGGTTTATGAGGATTTCATTGGGTGTGCATGAATAAACTCGAGCTTATTGTATGAACGTGTGCCTGGGAGCAGAAAAACTCAGAAGCATATTGCTTTAGTTTATTCGTGCGCATGTGGAGCCCCACTGGAGCAGCTAAGGGCTGCTCCAGTGGGGCTCCACATGCTGTGGAACAGCTGGCTGGGGCACGAGCATGCTTCAGCACAGGGGCTGCCTGCTGGCCACCCCCGCACAGGAGCACACTCATGCCCCAGTCAGCCCCTCCGCAGCACACTGAGCCAGGTCAAAGTAACCCCAGGTGGGCAGGCTGCAGAGGCAAGGGGCTGACTGGGGTATGAACAGTCAATTAGCAGTGCCACACTGGGGCACCCTTGTGCTACAGCCAGCCCCCACACTGCCTGGTCAGAAAGGCCCTGGGCTGGCAGGGGACCTGGGGCTTCTTCAGAGCAGCCTGCCAACCCAAGGCTGCTCTGACCCAGCTTACAGTGCTGCAGAGGGCCTGGCTGGGGCACAAGGGTGCTCCTGTGTAGGCAGCCCCTACGCTGAAGTACTCCTGTGCCCCAGCCACCCCCATCACTGTCTACACGTGCCACGGTGCACAAAACAACGCTGCTACAAGGTACTTCTTCTGTTTCACTAGACTACCCTGTAGCAGCGTTTATTAGTCTACTGAGACCTAATAGGGTCACATATGTAGATACTAATATTTTACTACATAGCTAATTAGTCAGCACCACAGCAAACATCTCATGTAGACGCACCCAGCATGGCATACAGAAGTTGATGCCTCTTCTCAGCTAGAGTCCCCAGCATTCAAACTCCCAACAGGATAGTTTAAATGGAAAAATTTCCAGCAATGAAAATTCTTGCTGTAAAACTGGATGTAGGTGCTACTGTTGAACAGTATATGTCTAAGCAAAGCAGCTGAAATCATGCTATCAGCTTATAATTACAAGTTATTAATATTTTTTCAATCATTTTGTGGATGAAGCCCATGTCCATTATGCAACAGAGGCAGAGGTGTAAAGGAAATACCTGAAGTTTAAGCAAAGCTATTTTTTTCCCCTCTAATTTAGCAGTTTGATATTTTCCATTTAAAATTTCCAAAATGTGAAGTGATATTCATATAGCTAAGAAACATTGTAAATGCTTAAGAGCCAGAAATGAGAGAGAAAAAACAGACTAAAGCCTAAATAAACAAGCAAGATGATATCATGTTTCTTTTTAACTTAACAGAGCACAAATAAATTGCATTTCACAGCCATACAATCTCTTAATATTGTTTACAGCATCACAGCAAATACAGATGTCACAGATATAAGGCGAAATAAATTCACCAAAAAGAAATACATTGAAATACATGCTGTTGTAACATTGTCCTAAATTCTTCCCAACATTGTGCAAAGCCACAAATGGCCCTGGGCTCCAAGCCCCACACACTACCCCTGCTGGGTAGCAGCCCCAGCCCCGCCCAACTCCCTTCCTCACTATGGGGGCCACAATCCTCACCCCGCCCCCCCAACTTACCTGCAGGGAGCTGCTCTCCAGGCTGCCACGTGCATGTGTTAGCACGCACATGGTGTCCCCTACCTGACCACCCTCCTCCTACTTCCCCCAGCCCCTTGCAGCCTGGAACTCTGCCAGCCTGGAAAAGGAAACCCAGCTTTCTCCACATTTTTCTCATTTAAAAGGAGAAAAACCAGATTTTTCTCCCTTAAAAAGAGAAAATCTGGGTTTTACCAAGTTTTTCCATGGTGAACAGAAAACTCAGATCCCCTTTTATGAAACAGAGGCATCTACTCTGCTTAACTGAAGCTTGGGCATGGTCTCATGTTCGTTCATAAGGGTAGTATGAAATAGGGTCTTAGTTGTCTTACCAAAGAGAGGTTAATGATTTTTTTGAAGCCTGGATTCAACTATCTGTCATAGATATTGCACTATGTGATCTCAGACAAATCACCTAATCTTGTTGGCTGCCTGTACACGTACTGGTTTGTGTTCTAATTAGAACGCTCCAGCATGGTTTCACCATCACATGCATAAGCCTCTGTGCATTTAAAATTGGTCATGGAGGCATTCTATCTAAACATCATCAAATGAGCTTTACAGAAATCATCCCACTGCTATTTTTAAATGTGCAGGGGCTTAATACATGCGACAGTGAGGTGTTTTAATTAGCATGGCTCTCCAGAAACCACTCAATTTAAAATGCCCCCACCCCTGACCATATGTATAGGCAGCCTTTATGATAATCTATAAAATAGTGATAATGTTTCCCTTCCTTGCGGTATTATTTGGAGAGTAAGTACATGCTATAGGAATGAGAGTTGTCAAGTACCTAGATAGGTCACAGTATCTGCTGTCATTTAAACTTCTGCTGCAGTCAGTATAAGAAAATGGAAAAAAATTTTTATACAGTTATGTATGGAAGCATAAATCCTGTTAGTTGAACTGAAAGGCGATCCTACTATGAAACCTTCAGGTGTTTCCCAAGTCCTACAAATCAAACAACTCTAATATGCTAAAACACCTCAAACTGTAACATGTAATCAACAAAGTTTTTCTGTTCAACAGAAAAGGCTCTCCAACACCATTTTTCTTTCTGAAGTAACGTCTTCCAATGTGTAAACATTCTTATAATTAGGTAAGTTAAAAATATAGAGTAGATGGAGAAAATTTAACCAATTCTTTCTTCTGCTTTATTTTTATATGGTAAATTTAAATTCAACATTAGCTCCTGAATTAAATTTGTGTATTTAAAAATGCTTGGAAAAGGGGTGGGTGGGTGTGTGTGTGTGTGTGGGTGTGTGTGTAAAAACACACACACCCACACACACACTGATCTCCTGTGTGATGGAGTTAACTGTTTTGTTCCAACTTCCTCTTAAAAATTCCACTGGACAGAAGATGAGGCTGGAAAATTTCAACCCGAACAAACTTTTCAGAAGTTTAGCAAACACTGAAAGCAGGATCAGAACAGAAGTTTATGCCACTTACAGGATGACAGCCACTGACTTTCTTGCTATGCTGTCCAACCTTAAATTATTCATTACAATTTCATATTATGCAATATATTGTTCACCTTGCAAATGTTGTTCTGTACCGCACTTTCCAAATTCTTAATGTAATAAAGATAATCTGAACATTTCCCTGGTTGATGCTTATACTAAAACCCTCCTAATATTAATCATTGCACAATTTCCCAGAGTCACACTCTAATCACAAGTCCCCATTCACACAAAAACCTTCAAAACACAATTAAAGCTTCTTTCATTGCCAAGTGGTATTGGATATAATCCACATAAACCTAATCTGGAAAGAGATAAAAATATAACCCAATTCTTGACTCTCCCCCCACCCTCTCTTTTTAACCACGGAAAATTTATTGGCGCTTAGAATCTTGCTGCTATCTGTTGTGATTTGTGCACTGTAAAACTTAAATCAACTCTGGGTTAATAATTACAAGTGCTCACTCTAGCTTTTAACTGTGATAAAGATTATTAACAGTTTAACCTCTAAGTAGCCTCTTTTGGAAAGTACATCATGACCTTCTAGGGTAATGGGATGTATGCTGACGTAGTGGGTCTTGGTAGTCCTGAATTTCTATGATCCTATATTTTCCATCAGAGAAATGATGGATAACTCAGTTTGCAGAGAACTAAGTTAACAATATTAGTGTCAAACAGGTGTGCTAAATTCATATAGTCCCCATGGCTGGACGAGCAGTGCAGGGCTGGTCTGGAGGCCAGCTGGACCCACAGACCAGCCCTGCATTCCAGCCCATGTCCTGGAGTGGCCAGAGTAGGCACCCCAGAGCCTCTGCTGCATGTGGCATGGCCCTAGAGTGGCATGCGGCCCTCTGGGACCAAGCTGCACGTAGCAGCCACTCCACCGCTCTGGGACAGAAGCTGGAGCAAGAGCTGCATGCAGCACATGGGGCCATCCACATATCTTTAAATCCATTGCATTTTGCAATCTCTGCATGCATGGGGGTGGGACAGCATGAGGGACCAAATTATGTAGCTCTACAGTTGGGATCCAGTTGGTAGACCATATTTTGGACAACGCTGCTGTAAAAGAATCACTCAATTTGAAGCACTCTCCTTTTTTCCCTCCAATTTTACAGAATTTTTTTTGCCCCCTCCAAGTAAGTAGGAGAAATTTACTCCCAAATATGGAGTCCAATGAGGGCAAAAGCTCAATTTTTTTATCCTGAAATCATCCTGAAGAGATGATTTTAACCTGATGGATGATTTTCTCCAGGGATAATGTTCACCAGGGTTCAGAAGGTCGGGGAAGAGGGAGTGTGGCCAGAGAAAGGGCATGGCCAGACCCCTGTGGCAGGGGAAGAGGAGAAGGGGGAAAGCCTTGCCTGCCTCAGTGGCTCTCTGACAGCCAGGAGCTATCTGGGCACACAGCTCCACTGCCTAGCCCTAGAGGGGGACTCTTCCTCCTCCTCCCTCTCACCCACGGCAGGGTGGGGCAGAGGGGCTCTGTGTGGTACTGCCTGGCCCCAGATGCTGTCCTGGCATGGCCCTGTTAAGGGGAAAGGGGCAGGGATGGAGGGAGTTAATTCCTCCCTCCATCCCTTCTGACCCCAGGGACTGGAGCTAGGGTCTCCACCTGCGCTGCTCGCCCACAAACAGGCAGACCCCAGCTGTGGTGAGGAGGGGTGGGGAAGGTGGGAAGAATTAACACCCTCCCTACCCACTTTACCTTGACGGGGCCACGTTGGAATGCATCTAGCCATGTCCCTGCCCGTGCTTGGGCTAGGGAGCAGAGGGGCAGGGCCTGCCCTGCTCTCTGGAGCACAGCATACAGCCCAGCCCAGCCCATGGCTGCAGAGCATGCTGGGATGATGGAGGACTCTGGTTTAACTCAAACCAGGCAGCGGTCTGGG